GAATAGTCTTGGGTTGGGGTTTTTATACACATTGAAACAAAGAAAATCAATCATTGCATAGAGCAGACAGTGGTATAGAGTAAACAATTGATACAAGTTAAGTGATTTTACAACCAGTTGATTTATGAATACAGGGAGTGATACCTAGGAATGCAGCCGAATGGCGATAAGGGACACCTGGTGGAGTCAGGGGTCCAGGAGGCAGAGATATATGGTGACTTCTTCTATCTCACTTAGGTGAAACTGAGGTTACGCTCACATTGGGGTAATTTACTGACTAATGGCTATGCAGAGCAAATCTAACAAGGTCAGGAAAGTTCACCAGAGGAGGTTGGGGGGGAAGCGGCTTTTAACTTCTTAACCCTTCATTCCCCACTCCTCTTAGGCCAGGGTCTCTAATCTTAGAGACCATCTGTTTCCCTTTCTCCATGTGTTACATATTGTTGATGAATTACCATGAGTTTAACATTTTTAGCTAGGGAGACTTAGTGAACCACGACTCAAATCATCCCTGTTGCTGAAGTCTGTCCCACTGTCTTTTCTCTAAGCGTTTACGTAGTTGAGCCATGTTGTCCCTCGCCACCCCTGTCTTGTCTACATAGAAGCAGCATTCCTCCTTAAGGGCTGCGCATAACCCCCCCCCCCTCTATGAAAATGAGATCCTGTTCTGCAATACTGAAATGCAGATACTGGGCTGTATCTGGGAGGTTGTGGAAGATTTGTCAGGCAGAAGGGGTGGGGATCTCCACCTGGCAGGTTATCAGGTAGAAGGGGGCAGGGCAGGATGCAAAGGCCGGGCTTCCAGTGAAACATTGTCAGGATGACTGAGGTGCAGATGCATATGCTGGACACATTAGGCCTTTATGTCACACACACATAAGCTCATAACTGACTTTCTGCCTAATATTTTCCCCTCAAGAGGTAATACCCAAAATTCTTCTTTGGGATTATGGATGGAGTTCCGTTTTCTGTAACTTCTTCGAAGCTGGCATGTGGGCGTCGAGGGGGGTTTGGGTATTTCCTCTTGCTACCTGTCTTATGGTGTGCAACAGTGGCCTTGGAAAGACGGTGCCGCTCGGTCCAGAGGGCTGCTCAGGTCATCCAGTGGAATGGGCTGGAAGCCTTGCCTGATGACCATTTGGAGTTTAACAGCTTTTAGTCTGTTAGAGACAAAACGAACAAGGGCATTAAAAACACACAGTGCAAAGAGAAGTATCAAGATTGCAGAAGTTATTGGGCCAAGGAGAGGAAACAGCCAGGATTTCCGTGACCAGATATCAGGGCAGAAATCCCAGCCCTGCTTTGCCTGGTCCTGGAGCTGTTTGGCTTTTTCCAGGAAAAATACGAATTCGGATTTGTACCTGTCTAGTCTGATTGACCCAGAGACAACATTTTTCCTGGAACATGGCACAAATAGCTCCTGGAGCAGTAGTTAGCATGTCTAATTATTTTTTTTTATAACCTTTTGTGACTTCACACACCCTCTTTAACTTACTTGAAACATTCTATTATTTCCATTCCAGTCTAGAGTAAACTAGCCATCAGGATTTTTACAAACCATGTCCTTTTCTTATTTAAAAAGCTCTTTTCTTTTTAACCCTTTTTACCAAGAACACTCTTTCCTTCTAAACCTTACTTACCAAGCACACATTTCTATCCTTGTGATGTTTTTCATAGAGCCTGGTTGGCTCTTTCTGCCTTACCGGAAGACTGAGGTCTCCATGCAGAGTGAAGGTGCCTTACAAATCCCTTGTGTGATCTAGAGCTCTGGTTAAGGCAATCAGTTCTGCTAAATGAGCAAAAGTTCCTGGGGGCAGAGCATGCTGTAACTGTTGCATACCCTGAGAAGCAGGTCCAGTCTGACAAAGCTGCTTCCATCTATGAACCAAACTTCATCTGTGTTAGTCAGGGGACTGTCTCTTGGGTCCCTTCTGCTGGCATAGATTAAGTCTATAGTCTCAGTACAGGAGTGGAGGGGACCACTTTCCCCTGGAACTGGCACGGAGAGCTTTTTAAGTTTACTTTTAAGGCCTGGCTGGGTGTGTGAGGCCCAGACCTATCCATGGGGTGCTATTAAGAGAATTGTAAGAGATGCAAATCTCCCTTAAGGGAGGCACCCTGTTGACTTGCATTACATGGCTGGACTAGGAGGAGAGCTGAATAGGAGGCTGATAGAAATAGGCAACTTGCATTTTACTGACCCTAGGCCATCCCCAATAGCAGTGGCTGGAGCTGGAAGCTGGGCAGAGCCAAAGGCTTTTTAGCTCGGGGCCACAGGGTCTGTGGTTCTGAACCAGGAGTCCTTCGACACCCAGGGCAGTTCCATGTCCAGTAGCCTTGCTCTTGGCAGAGCTGACAGAAGGCAGTCGCTGTTACAACAGCTGCTTGCCCAATGCCCTGGCTCCTTATGTCAGCAACAGGCGCCATTTGGGGTGCATTGGCTTTGCTGGGTTTCCTTGACAGTGGATCACCGTGTAAAGCAGCCACTGATTGGCCTGTTGCCCATCCTTACATCGCTCCTGCTGCTAGCTTGCTCCTCAATTTCCTGGTCTCTAATAAAGTGGACCAAGGAGGCAGCCTCTATGATGTCAGTCAAGGGGGTGCTCAACCCCGTCCCTGATTTTTGGAGTTTTTTTTTTTTTTTTAATATCAGGGTGAGCTAAAAAACTATGGTCATGGGCAAATTCTGACACTTAGTATTTTCCTGCGAGTTAAGACCGTGCCCATGAGGAGAACTATGATCTTTTAGGTAAGATCAACTGTGGTGACCTGCTTGCATACTTTGAGGTCATCAGTACAACTTCCTATCTATCCCTCAATTTGGTTTAAAAGGGAAGTTCTGCCCATTTACCGTGTACACCAAAAAATCGATCTAGCTGTCATTTTAACCTCTTATTCTGGCTATGCTGTTTGGTCCTCTATACTGTGACCAGACATTATTATAGAAATGGTCAGTCATCCCTTACATAAGGTCTGGGGGTCAAACTGTATATCACTGTGGAGAGTCCTGCAGAACAGTGGTAACTTCCCTTCTGGAAAAGAAAAGAGGAGAAGTGAAGCAGTGAGTCGGGTCTCTAGCCTGACTTCCTGGGCTTTCAGATTTAACCAGCGTTTAACCAGTGCTTACTGTGTAGCCTGACTTAGAGGAGAAATTGTGGCAGAGGTCTCTGCCATCCTTTGGCCTCCAGATATTTACCGTGTAGCCAGTGGGTTATGGGCCTGGGTTTCTGGGCTTTCACCGCGCAGCCTGTGGACACCAGAGACTTCCCGGGCTCCTGGAACCCAGCTCTCCAGCACCCGCTGCATAACCATCTCCCGTCGTCTCTAAGTCTCTTTTGGCACACTTTTTTCTTTTTGGCTAGACCTTCATTTGATCTATATTTGAACTAGCAATGCCTGGTTGTTACACAATAAATTACTTAGGCAGAACATGAATTCTATGTCTCTTGTTGTCGGATAAACCAGAAATAAAAACCCTGAACATTAGAGTTAGTACACAATTATCATATAACTCAGAATAATTTAACAGAGTCAAAAAGAGCTTACAGGACCTAATTTTAGAAATGGCAGGGTAGCCGATTAAACAGACACTGTTAAAATAGACATTACAGTTTTTGTGAAAACAGATTTTAAGATTTATGATTTAGACCATTTTTAAACATTTTAAAACTTTTTATGACTTGTTTATATCTTTGGAAACTTTACACCCGTAGTTACTTTTATATAGCCTTGAATTGTCATGTGTGGACAATCTATGAGAATACATGCTAACAAACTCAAACAGTCTCTCTTATCAAATTTGAGATGTTAAAAGTACACATCCAAGTTTTACTTAGTACTGATGCCTAGATGACTTAAGACACAGAGTTATTCATGAATACCATACCAGTATCTGAAATAGAAGTCAAAATTATATTTCCATGCTTTTAAGTAATATAAGGACAACACCTCCTGAGCAGCAAACATGGTCACTAGTGCATGGTTACAACTTTGAAAAGATCTTTATCATTAAAAGAAACAAGTTTAAAGCACATCAAAGACATGTAAAACTGAGCAAGCAAGCCACTGAGCAAACCGAAGGGCATTTGCATTATCTCAATTTTCTGAACCAATCTGTATTGGCTTACTTTAGTTAACAACATAAAGGCTTGTATATACAGAATTTATTCTTATTTTTATAAGACCATTTTAGCTGGAAAGCAAAAACATGAATACAGCATAGGTCTGACACCATTTATAACATTTTAATATATTTTATATAATCTGAATTGACTCAAGCAGCTGTTACTTTAATAAACTCAGAGTCTCATCCTTTGAGAGTTCCAGGGATCCAACTGGAAGCCCAAAGTTGGAAGACTCGATTTAGAATTTAAGCTGTCAGAGTCAAACCATTTAGCCAAAATTAGTACATTTTTGATCAGTTGGGTAATCACTCAAACATTAAAAACAGATAAACAACGTAGTCTCAGCACTACAAATAGAAAAACATGAAACCTTCAAGACAGGTGAACACTCTCATCAGATAAGTCAGGGACAGCAGCACAGAAAAGAGCTGATAAAAACCCATTTACATTTTGGAATAACCTGTTAAGAATTTTTAAATTAAGACAACATTTTTAAAGTTTTTATTATATAGTTTGGAACAGTTGGTTCTGAATGGAATTTTCCCATAATGTGTCCCCCTTGGTTGTACAAAACAAGAGATAAAGACCTCCGGAACAGGCACTGATCCGGAGTGAGATTGCTTCGCCCGCCTGGTGAACACGGAGCTGCAGGTTACGGCCCATTTAGACTCTGTAGCTGCAGGGCCGTGGAGCCACAAACACATTTACACCACACACACGCTCTTTTCCATTGCAGACACCAGGCAGGTCCCTGGTAGAGGGGCAACAGAAGCCCCCCCTTCCGCACAAAGGCGGGCCTGAGTACCGAGTGCCCCAGGGTGACTTACCGGGTCCTGAAGTCCAGGAGATCCATCCATTTGCCCTATTTGGTCGGCCATGGGGAGTCAGTCTGGGGGGACGGGTATGGCTCGGGGAGTTAGGATCCTGAGGAATAAGTCAGGAGGCGCGCCTTCCCATCCTCCGCCTGCCATTCCTGGGCCCCAGCTGAGTCCTGCAGGTTGAGGCTCAAAGGGCCAGCTTTGTTTGAACACACAGGGGGTTTCAGCACTTGCTAATGGCACAGCAGGGGTTTCCCTGCTGCCTATGAAGGGAGAGTGGAGGGATCTGCTGGCCCCTGGGGAGCTGCTTCTCGTACCCTCTCCTGTGGCCCCCGCTGCCGGCCCCACAGCCAGGGCCGGGCGGCTGGTAGGGAGGAGGGAAAATCAAATCTTCAGAGTCGCCCTGTAAAACAGAATAGAGCGGCGCCGAGGCTGAAGTCTTAGTTTGTTTTATCTGCTTTGCTGGGACGGTCCTGGACGACTAAAATCTTTTTTTTTTTTTTTTTTTGAAGGTTGTTTCTGAGGGAGTAAAAGAGGCTTTAACCAGGAAAGGGAGTTTTTACCAGATCTTGCCAGACCAGGATGTCAAGGGTGCCCTTAGGCGCCCATCCTACTTTAAAGGTAGGCCAATCTGCAGAACAAAGGGTGGTTAGTCTCCCTTTCTAAGAGTTGTCTAAATCCGTCCCATTGTCTGAATTTCAGAAAGGTAAATACAAATAGCCAAAAACAAACACCAAAGAGACTCACAAAAAGGCACTGAACAAAACAAAAAAGACAAAAATGGAACATCGGCCTCACGCCTGCGGGAGCGACCACTTCGTTCCTACAGAGGTGGGGAGCCTGCCCCCCTACAGAGTCCCAGATGGGGTCCGAGAACCACACTGACACACAGACACAGATACGAATGCAAGTTCCGGAACCACTTCAGAACCTACAAATGCAGACTCTGGGACCACTTCAGAGTCTCGCGACTATGCAACACACAAACAGACAAACACAGACTCCGGAACCACATCAGAGTCCTGTGACAATGCCGACAATACAAATGCAAGTTCCGGAACCACATCAGAACCTACAAATGCAGACTCCGGGACCACATCAGAGTCTCGCGACTATGCCACACACAAACAGACAAACACAGACTCCGGAACCACATCAGAGTCCTGTGACAATGCCGACAATACAAATGCAAGTTCCGGAACCACATCAGAACCTACAAATGCAGACTCCAGGACCACATCAGAGTCTCGCGACTATGCCACACACAAACAGACAAACACAGACTCCGGAACCACATCAGAGTCCTGTGACAATGCCGGCAACACAAAATGTGAGTCTGAAAACAGTTTATGCAATAGAAGTAAAACCTGAAAGACAAAGGGTGAATACTGATGCTGGCACCGAATTCCCGACCGCGGGAATTCCAGATGGGAGTTTCGCTGAGCGTCCTCAGTCTCCCGGTCCTCCCGAGGCGTCCCTCGAGGCTGTAGCGTTGTGGCTTCCAGGCACGTCTGCCACCCAACGTCTACCGTGCCAGCCCGAAACCGCTTCAGGCCTGAACCAGATACAGAAACAGAAATGCACGTGCACAGAGTCCCTATCCTTTAGGCGCCTTTACTTACCCCGAGAGATGTCCGTTGGAGACGTCCGTGGGCAGCAGAGCCATCTCGGTGGGACCTCCATATGTTACAGTCGAATTAGAGTTGAATTGCTCTTGCCACCCCAAAAACGCTCCAAGAGACCTTCTCTCATGTAATTAACAAAGGGTAAAGTTTATTGATGTTCCGACATGTCGGGGCCCCCGTCCCAGTACAGGCGAGCGGCCTCGAATAGTCTTGGGTTGGGGTTTTTATACACATTGAAACAAAGAAAATCAATCATTGCATAGAGCAGACAGTGGTATAGAGTAAACAATTGATACAAGTTAAGTGATTTTACAACCAGTTGATTTATGAATACAGGGAGTGATACCTAGGAATGCAGCCGAATGGCGATAAGGGACACCTGGTGGAGTCAGGGGTCCAGGAGGCAGAGATATATGGTGACTTCTTCTATCTCACTTAGGTGAAACTGAGGTTACGCTCACATTGGGGTAATTTACTGACTAATGGCTATGCAGAGCAAATCTAACAAGGTCAGGAAAGTTCACCAGAGGAGGTTGGGGGGGAAGCGGCTTTTAACTTTTTAACCCTTCAATGGTAAGTTTTTTAATCTTTTTATTTAGTGAGAGAAATGCATAGGGGATTGAGGCCTTTATCTAAGGGAGAAAGAAAAGTCCAGAAATTATGTTGGGGCCATACTGAGCAGAGCAGGCCAGGAGCTACGTGCAGCAAGCATTTGGTTATGAGCAGCTACAAGCAGCTTAGCACAGGTAGCAAAGCCAAGGCAGACAGCAAGGGTGGCCCGAGGGCCATGTGCCCCAAAGGTGTGGCGGCAACAAAGGGATCAAGGGCATTGAGGAAAATAAAAAGGACAAAAAGGGAGAAAAGACTGGGCCCAGCATGTTCTAGGCCTTTTATCTACTTCCAAAGGGGTGTGGTTAATTAGTCTGATTGGCAGGTGAGCATGCAGGTGTGGTCAGGTAGGGGCATGAGATCACAGAGGAGCACAATGAAGGTGTCTTCCAGCTCAAATTTATCCTACCTGCCTGCCTACATCAAATGAGTCACATAGGTACTTTTGGGGGAAGCAAGTGTTGTGGGCTAGGTTGGGTCTAAATTTCTATTCCAGACTCTAGCCTTTTACTTAGAGAAGAATTCGAAGTACTAGCACAAACATGATGTGCAGTATGGTAAGGTTTATTTAAGGAGTGAGAAGAAGACACAGGAACATGAAGGCTTTGTTTAGGGAGAGTGGGCCAGGACAGGTGAAGAGGGACATCCATTCCCTGCTGCCTAGGGGCCACAAGGGGGGGGGGGAGAGACACGGGGCGGGAGGGGGTTGGCGTGACAGACACACAGAGAGAGCACCCTCCCGTTTATCACGCTTCCTATGAGTCTCATAAAAGGAGTTGTTACATAGAATTGCTGTGAGGAGTCAGACACATTAATAGACAGTTGGGTTAGTGCAATGGAAACTGAGGATGTAAAATGCTTGCATCCCACAAAAATTATCTTTAGCAAGATCAGCATGCCAAATCCCACTGCATTTCTCTTCAAAAGGTGCTTTTAGCAAAACAACACTCCTCAGGAGCTTCCAATCTTATAATGAGAATAGTAAGGGAGTGGTGATTCCACCCTTCTAATGCCTCTTTTGTTTTATGAAGAGCAAGCCAGACATGGCAAATAAGATTACAAATCAGGGTTTTGTTGGGTTTTGTCCCTGCCTTATAACTGATTGTTAGCTGAGTGTCAGTTTTTCCCCCCAAAACTGCTACCAGCAGCCCCTTCTGGTTTTGCCTTTTGGAGCCCCGCTCATGGCCACTCTGGATGGAGGTTTCTGACTTACATAAATCCTGCTTTTCTGTTTGTCCATTTAAAAATTCTTCTTCCTTGTGAGTCTGTGACAAGGTGGGGTGTTCTAAAAGTTTAAAACCTCAAGACAGTAGAAGTAAAGGTGTGTGGGTTGTATTGATTGAACATTAAGGAAACACTTGGTACCAGAGGGCAGATGCTGGACACCTGGCGCCGGCCTTGGACTTCAGGCAGGAATAGGTGTTGGTTGCTGATTGCTAACTGCTTTCAGCTTGCTCACCATGCCTGTGCAATTAACTCCTGATAAAAACACCCTGCTACTGCAACTCACTGCTGTCTCCTCCGGACTTGCTCTGTGATAATTCCCCCATAACTCTGCCTCCAGATCCCAGGAAAGGTGAGGTACTCCCTGGGGAAGAGTCATCTGATTGACAGGTGGGGTGTTAGCATGACATGGGCTGGGGGAGGTATGGTCTCCAGCTCATAAACTTTATCTCCCTGGCTTTTCCCACATGACAAGCGTTTTCACCCTCCTTAGGAGTACTATTCTTTCCTTGTTCTTTACCGTGACCAAACTAACTGCCTATTACCCTAACTTCTCACAGTGAGACAAGAACTGAGATCACCTTTATCACCCTGCAATGGGGAGAATCCCCAAGAAAAAAGAATTCTTGGCAGCTGTTTGGGATATCCTTTTATGCTCTGCCCTGGGCCCAGCTCACCTTGAGTAGCCTGTGCACATAAGCCTGCTCCTTTCCAGTAGAGGGGGCAGATTGCTTGGAAAATTCACTTATATCCCCCCAGATTCACCATTCTGTTATCCAACCAAAATTAGGCCCAGGCTGGTCCATGCTGGACAGTCAACACATCAGAAATAAGAGTTGATGCAGGGAGACAGAATGTTTATTAGCATGGCCTCCAGAAGAAGATAGATTCTGTCATAGCAAATATGCTCTTTCCTAATTTGCAGGCTATCAGGATGACTTAAAGGAGAATGGATAGCTGTGGATGGAGGATTAAAAAATAAACATTTGGTCTAGTCAACTGATTATTAGACAAAATAAGTCACAGGCAAATTCACAGTAGTTACCTTTAGCTAGTTAAAATGTGAAAAGAAAGGAATTTGTTAAAATTGCAAATTCTTTTGTTAGTTAAATGTGAAAAGAAGATTATGCACTTAGAATTCTTACAAAAGGGCTGATAACTTGAGTAGGACCTAACTGAATATTAGAAGGAGGTGAGTTTCAGGTGCCCTTCCTTCCTACCATATCTCCTCTCTTCTCCCTTTTTCCTGAATTTTGCTGAGCAGAGAGCTAAAATCTGTGAAATTCCTCCTGGGTTTTATTGCATAGTGTTAGCAGAACAAATGGAATGAACCACCCTCCTGGCACCAGGCCAGGAAAATTTCCCAGGATGTCTCCAGGAGCAGGGATCCTCCCTACAAGGGGGTTATTAGACCTGGAAAGAACTTCTGATGTGTGAATGCCACACTGATTCCAAGGCAGCTTCTAAGGCTGCTACATTCCTTCCATCATGAACTTCTGCTTCTGTTTTCTGTAACTTCTTCGAAGCTGGCATGTGGGCGTCGAGGGGGATTTGGGTATTTCCTCTTGTTATCTGTCTTATGGTGTGTGACAGTGGCCTTGGAAAGACTGTGCTGCTCAGGTTGTCCAGTGGAATGGGCTGGAAGCCTTGTCTGACAACCATTTGGAGTTCAACAGCTTTTAGTCTGTTAGAGACAAAACGAACAAGGGCATTAAAAACACACGGTCCAAAGAGAAGCAGCAAGATTACAGAAGTTATTGGGCCAAGGAGAGGAAATAGCCAGGATTTCCATGACCAGATGTCAGGCCAGAAATCCCAGCCCTGCTTGGCCTGGTCCTGGAGGTGCTCAGCTTTGTCCAGGAAAAGTACGAATTTGGGTTTGTACCTGTCTAGTCTGATTGACCCAGAGACAGCATTCTTCCTGGAACATGGCACAGATACCTCCTGGAGCAGCAGTTAGCATGTCCAACATTTCTTTCTTTCATAACCTTTTGTGACTTCCGCACACCTTCTTCAACTTACTTGAAACATTCCTTCATTTCCATTCCAGTCTAGAATAAACTAGCCATCAGGATAAAGTCATTCTCTTACAAACCATGTCCTTTCCTTTAAAAACAAACAAACAAACAAACAAACAAAAAAAAAACAAACTCTTTCCTTCTTAACCTTTCTTACCAAGCACACATTTCTATACTTTTGATGTTTTCCACAGAGCCTGGTTGACTCTTTCTACCTTCAGGAAGACTGAGGTCTCCATGCAGAGTGAAGGGGCCAGGTTATTCCTAGGGCCTTACAAATCCCTTGTGTATCCTGGGAGATGAGGTAAGGCCCATTGTCGCTTTGTAAAGATTTTGGAAGACCACAGCGTGGGAAAACTTCCTTCAGGAGAGTTTTGGTCAGTTCCTGAACTCTTTTAGTTCTGGTTGGGAAGGCTTCTACCTATCCAGTAAAGGTGCCTATAAGTACAAGCAGGTAGGTACCTATAGCATTGACAGAGGCTGTGTAAAATCTGTTTGCCAGCCTTCCTTGGGGTAAGTTCCCTTTTCCTGTATAGACCCCTAGGAGTTATTTTCTCTTGTCCTTACCTAGTTCTAGAGCTCTGGTTAAGTGATCAGTTCTGTTAACTGAGCGAACTTCCTGGGGGCAGAGCACGCTTCAATAACGTGCCATGCCATAACTGTTGCATACCCTGAGAAGCAGGTCCCGTCTGACAAAACTGCTTCTGTCTGAACCAAACCTCATCTGTGTTAGTCAGGGGGCTGTCTCTTGGGTCCCTTCTGCTGGCATAGATCAAGTCTATAGTCTCAGTACAGGAGTGGAGGGGACCACTTTCCCCTGGAAATGGCATTAAAGTAACTGGGTTTAGAGTAGAGCAATGCCTTATTTTTACCTGAGGGTTTTTTAGAAGGAGGA